ACTTTTAAGAAAAGACAGATTGTCATTTCAAGGAAATAATAGCCTAATGGAAATTGGTAAAATATTTGATGTATAATAGTGTATAACCATGGGCTTGTGCACAGGGTGGGCCAGGCGGGTGATAGCCCACCCTGCGAGCCGTACTCTACTTGTTATACATATTGCAACCTGTTAAATTTTTATCGTRAAACTTTAATAATAAAATTAAAAATTTCAATTTTCAATGATAATAATTAATTACATACATTGAAAGATTTAAAAACTGAATTGATAAAATATCTTAAAGTACTTATTTAAGTATCTTAATCATAATTGGTTTGGCCTAACCTACCAAAAAAGGTCTGCGCACGCCTATGTGTATAACATTGGATATTAATTTAATTGAAATTGTATGATAATAGTTAATTACTCGATTAAACCACGAAAACACTGAAATGAATAAATTATTAAGTATTTTAATAAAACAATTAGGATTATAGTATTTCAATGATTTATATTAGTAAGTACTTAAATATTGTCTATGAAAATAGTTCAATATTCATCAAAATTAAATTGGTAGTTTGCTGTTTTGAGTGTTCGGAAATAAATATACATATTTGTTTAGGTGCAATAAGAATAATTACTCAAATTAGTTTTGTAATATACTCAAAAGTATTTAAATAGTACCTATATAAACTTTTTAAAACTAAGATTTTTTTTGTGTTCCAATTCAAATGAAGTACAAAATTAAAATAACAAAACACAATATTTGATATATTATAAATTTAAAGTAGGTACTATGTACGAGTATACGTAAGAAATGTCATAATACATATATTTATTTAATATTGAAATTTTTAAAATAAGAATTTATTCTATATAATTGTTGAGCTATATTAGTTGTAATTTAAAACTATAATAATAAAAAAAAAGAATGTATTATTTGGATTAATGACGAAATTTCAATTTTTGTTAGATCACGATCGTTTGAGGGTAGGCCACTGAAAGCTTTTACACATTGCATTTTTCTTTTATGTAGGTTCCAACACATCACTAGGAAGCACTCCCACGACTCGTTTATTTAAAATGAATCGAAATAAACTTAATTTTAACTACAGCTTGTTCTTAGTGGAAAATTATAATATATAGGTACTGTAACCCTTGGATACACGTGTATACCACCAATATGTCCTACGAAAATACAATGCAGAACATTCTCAATGAATATTATATGTGGTAGGGTTTTTAGGAATATTCTGATATCCGGATTAGTATCTTTGATTATGAAAGGTTTTCGATTTGAAAAATAGCATAACTCTTATCGCCAATATTGGTGTCTACTGAGTCGTGAATATTATAAAGATAATAATATTATGATAAATGTATGCACTACGCACCGACCGCAATCGAAAAAAGTGTACCTATCATTATTAATTATTCATAATATAAAACACGTATAATTATGCTGTGGATTTTAATTCGACCGCGTCAAAACTAAAGGCAYCTGTATAATATACAATATTCTAATGCGTGCACGTCGCGTGTTCCCACAATAGGTATCTAACTATATATATAAATTATTATTATGACGACCCCAATACGAATTGAATCAGTGATAAATCGTTTTTGACCTTCACTACAGTGAAATACCCGATTGCATAATATTATTATATCATGTACTTAAGCCAGATACCTAGTTGATCAATTTGGTAAAAAAAAAAAAAAAGGTTTTCATTAATTATTTTATATTTTGTCTTGTTTTTAAATTTATGAATAGGTATAGGTTAGGTATTGAGTTAATAACTTCTATAATAATTTAAAATGTATTAACGGTGCGAAATAAAAAAACACCAGATSGTGTATTATCTTAAATATCGAACGATTGAGCACATTTTACCTTTTCGGTCATATTATGATTGAGCACATATAAATGTTCAACAAGCTCTAACGAATGCGATTGAGTAAGATATTAGGTTAACGTTGTYAAATAATTTATTTAACATGAATTAAAATATGACAATCAAACATAATCTGTGTATGAAGGATATTTTTGTTTGTATATATTTTCTTACGCACAGTAAAGTTAAAGACGGGCAAATTACAKGACAAATTATAACAGGTTGAAAGTTGCAAGTTACAAGAATGAAAAATAGGTACCGAAACTTAGCAGTAACTGGTTACAAGTGACATTTATGTTGTCGGGTATCTTAATTCGATTTAAAGTTAAAAGTTGCTTGTTTACTTATTAAAGGAAATAAAAACATTAGGTAATACAAATTTAAAAAATCATATCATGCAAGTAATAAGCTATAACACATATTTAAAAGTAAGTATTAACATTGAATATTAAAACGTAAAATGGTAAAATAGTTATGGTAAGTTGGTAAGTAAAATTGATAAACACCAAATGGAAAATGTTTACAATGAAAAAAATTGAGGGCAACGCCTATACACATAAACGGTAACTTAAAGGTACCAATACCTGCAATGTTACAAATCCTTAATATTATAAAAAAAAWTTTTTGCGAATTTAAAAACTTTGGGAGAAAAATAAAATTAAAAGCGTGCTCACTGCTCAGTCGTATTTTATTCGTTTATAAGATATTATTGAATAGAATATTTACAGAAACATAATGATACAATATCCTGTGAATTAAAAACGAGTTATATATGGGCCATATATGACCGAGGGAGAAATCGCAGATTCTTTGCGGATTACGAGATCTATCAAGATCAGTTATTATGATATTATACATTGGACGAAATCTACGAGAAAAATAGCAAACCGGATTTTTCATTAAATCCATTTAGTATTTTCAATTCATCCTAGACATGTTGAAAAAGCAAAAATTTAAACGGTCGTTCGCAYTAAAAAATAAATTTTTAAGCGGTGTGCACAATGCAATGATGGTAGAATACACTATAGATTCGAAGAGGCTATTGTATTTAAGTTGACAACGTCATCAAAATTGTAGGTACACCTATACGACAAGAAGATAACACGCTTATCACTATTCTCGATCTTGTTCAATTTTAGTGTTTTTTTTTGTAAAAATAAATTGCTTTATTCCACCATTTTTATTTTAAAGTTTTTTTAAAATATAATATCAATTTACGATCGATCAAAATATTAGCAGAAGATTTGTTTTGGATGAAATAATCGATTAAAAAGTCTAATTTTTATCAATCTTTGTTTTATTTCCTCGTGTAATAGCATCCATGGGCAAGTGATGTTTTCTACGCTTTATAGGTTAGGTTATAGGTATAGGTACGTCAACACGATTTGAACTAGTAAAGTCATTTAAACTATACCTACATATTATTATTATAACACATAACAGTATGGGTTTCGTCTTATCCATATAAGCACCAAGAGTTAAAAAAAATCATTGGTTTTTTTAAGTTAAAATACAACAGTTCATGATACATCTTAAATAATATCATCGGCTATTCGAAACATACCGATACTTGCTCTATATACACAAATTGTCTGTTGTTGCATCAACATTAATATTATCCATCGATTAATTAAAAATGTATTCGTTAAATGAACTTCTTTCTAAAGCAAATTATGAGTTATTAAAAAAATTGAAATTAATATTTGTGGAAAAAATTTCAATGGGTACTCAAGCACCTGAATGTCCCGTCTACGTGGTATCTACGTGGATTCTCATTAATAATGTCGAGTTCCTCTTGAAAATAGATAATTGTAGATCGTGTTACGGAATAAACTAACGAAAACAACAAAAAAGGTCTTTCTCAAGACCAACAATGATGATTGAACAAAACAATACATTCCGACAGGTAAAAACCACACCTAGTAAAGGGAAACGGTAAAGCAACAGTGTGGTTTTGATCTGGTWGAACGAATAAACGCTGACCAATGAGCAAYGGACTAGATTGTCGAAAAGGGTATAAATACCGGACGCTTTCGACAATCTAGTCACCCCCACTAGTAGAGGCATAAGCCTGGAATAGTTAACGGCATAGCCACCCCCCTCAAAGCAAAGCAAAAAAATCTAGTCAGTCCATTTCAAACCTTCAAACCGTCTACAAGCCAAATTCAAAACAAAAATTCCGTCGGAAGAGGACCCGGACCACGACACAGAACACTGCCGACGASGTACGWGACCTGTGCCGCCTATACTCCGGGCCAACATATCACCAATCCCGACGCTTAATTAAGCTGTCCGACCCGAGCCAGGTTCATCGTCGGGGTACCGCTTAGTTAAGTTTGTACCGACGACGGCCGGCTCCCATCATACCCGATATTTTGTTATAATATACTGTGCATAAAATTATACCTAATTGTACAAATAGAGTCCGGTAGCTACCCGACTAATATCCAAGCGCCTCTGATTGTGTCGACTCACTCTTATTTAAGTCTGGTCGGCACAAATCGACGCTTTACTAAGCCCCAATATTGTTCGTGTATATACTTTTCAAAACATAGAAATAGAGACACCTGATTACAAAAAACAAAGTTTATCATTTATTCACGACACGGGCCGTCCATCMGGGCGAACCGTTTCAATCGTAACACAGAATTATCAAAACAGTTGCATCTTTGACGAGCCGATAGAATGCCAGAACAAAGAGACGACACGACTAAGCGAGTGTTAAACATAATAACTTCCATCATTTCCTCTTGAATTTTGAAGCACTTCGTTAACGCAAATGCATGCATAATAACTGGCGCGTATATAATATCTAAATCTATATCGGGTGCGATAATTTACAGACAGTAGAATAGTTTTTCGCAAAAATTAATTGAGCAACATAAGTCTGAAAAGTATTTTTAAAACGTTAAATATCATAATAATTATAATATAATATAGTATTGCTATTATTCACAGAGAATAAATGTGTATAAAATCACTTATATGTTTTTTTTTTACAAGTTCGTTGTGGATTATATAATAATATGCTATAATATTACATTATATATTATATATTATATTATCATATTATGTAATCAGTTACATCAAAAGTCGTGAGATAACATTATACAATCATGCGAACAATATAATAATATTATAACATATAGGTACAAATATAATATAATAACCGAGCCGAAATATTATAAACGACGAGCAATTTACAAGCTGTGGATGGGTACACTGTTCTTGTTCATAAGGTCGTTTTGGTAAATATAAACAAAAAAAAAAAAAAAAAAAATTGAGAATCAACAACAATAAAAATACGTGACTGTGTTCAAGAAACGACACAGGTTTTGTCGTCGGGTTTTTTCTCACTTTTTTCCTTCTGCCGCATTAACTTCTTGCAGATTGCATCTGAACATAACAAATATATTTTTTCAATACAAGCAAAAAAATAAAAAATAAATATGTATAATATAGGTACACAGAAAAATACAGAACCAGAATAATGCGAATCGTAACAATTTATTTTAATGGTCATCATTATGTACCTATATTAATAGGTATATTATTCCGTCCAGACAAAAACCGACGGGATCGCGCATTCCGAATTTTTATGCAAATGACGTGTTTTATGGTCAACTGATTCTAGCGAGATAATTGAAAATTATTTCGRGCACGTGTACTAGCGTCGGTCGGTCATTAATTTTAAGAGCTGACCTCGTTGTATATAGGTAGATGTAGACATTGTATATATATTGAGGCGAACATAATGTTATGATAGCAGTCCTGTGAAATTGTGGATGACTAGCAGCTAGTGGATATCCCCACTGAGCTCATACGGCTGACATTGAATTGAGTCCCGTAAATATTTTTGGGTTATCGGAATTGAGTCCAGCCAATATTGTTAGGTTGTTCGAGTTGAGTCCTATCAGTCTATTAGCGTTACCCAGCAGACACTACATGGATGTTGGCTGAGTAGTCTCCCAAAAATGTGTGCGATTGCTTACATTGTTTWTAATAATAATGTTTTTAAATAATAGTAATTATGTGTGATATAATAATAATAATATGTTGAAATGCTTTAACATAAATATTCGAATCTTTCGTGGGCAACAGCAAAAATACAAGAAGAACATAATATGAATCTATCTTTTATATTATATACACATAGGAGACTACCCCTATACACTCATCAACGCTCAGGACAAACCGCTGGACAGATTTGGCTGAAATTTGGCATACAAATAATTATTATGACATAGACATCTGCTAAGAAAGGATTTTTGAAAATTCGATATCTAAAGGGGAAAATACGGGGTTGTAAGAATACAATAGTGGCGCCATCAGGCAAAATCAAATTGCAATATACAACATTAGTGTCAAAATATAAATATATATGTATTTTTTCCTGACTGTTAATCGCTGTTCACCGCTGTAAAGGTATCAATTATAAAATTGTGAATCATAACTACCTATTACTGTCGTTTGTTGGGAGAGTTGAAATGTTATCATCTTTAAACTCATTAGGTAAAATCTTCAAAAGCCGTGCAGAAATATCATCTACAGCTTTCATTTTTATAGCGTTACTKATTTTCTGTCTTATAATAAGTAGGTACAGGTAGTTATGATATTTCAATTATACGGACTCAATTCAAAGATATTCAGATAATAATCTCAAATCTTGACTTAAGTCCAACACATAAAAGTAGCATAGTATCATTTCAATTTCACAGGCWCATACACCTTAACCCGCGTAACCGTAAAAAATGTTTTGAATTTAAAAATTCTAGCTACTATATTTATACCGCCAAKCGACCTTACGTCAGCAGTCTTTACTCTAAAATGTCAATATTAACGTTATTAACTTGATCAATTTTTGTTAAAAAAAAATTTTAATAATTTATTTCCCCAGRTATATTTTAAGATACCAATATTAAAATTTAAAATATTTACAACAAACACGTATAATTAAAACAAAATTAGAATATCAAGTTATCTTCTTTAAGGATCTCTGTGGAATTGTTGTCTTGTTTATTTTTTTTTTTTTTGTTTATTTACATCAACTTCTAAAATTTTAATTATTAATTATGCAAGGAGTATTATTAATATTTAATTGTAAACAATATACCTATTGATGTAATCATTTACTTTTAATTTGTTGGCGGGGTATTAAATTTTATACGCTCTAGTGGCGGGGCTATACTAAACAAGTAACATTGCAATATTTTTATAACGCATAAATTGTTATTATTATAATGCCCTCCTATTCCCTTCAAATTTGGTTTGCCTTTCCTGAGTAGTTGACTTATTGATGTTATCATAATTATATACACGTCTATAATTTATGTTACAACGTAATTTGTGTACATGGCGGTGGTGTTCGGTACCTTGGAATAATTTAATATAATAATTATTATTTACGAGATAGCCGTGCAGAATCGCAACTCTTGTCAATTCCGTTATACGTCAGAGCGGCGATAATGTTCATGTGCCGATTTCTGTTTCGTCGTGTTTACATTATTCAATACAATATTTTATTAAAGCGCGGTAAGAAAATTCGACACCAGTAGGTACATGTACCGTCTTCATTTATCATTTAATACTCTGCGTAACCGTACTCTCATGAGCTAACCATACGCAGGAGGCAGGTACATATAATATTGATCATAGAATTGAAATTTTTATCAAAATCATTTTTTCCGTCCTATCGTTTACAAAAACAAAGAACTATGATTTTATATTTTGTGAACGGATTTYGATAGGGATGCAGGCATATTGCGTATAATTTGCGCCGCTATTAAGCATAGTTGATGGTATTATTTYTTTTTTTGCGATTGGATCTGCAGTTGTAGTTATATTATTATTATTGTTATTTCTACGCTTAAATTATTCATATTATCGAGTGACTGGAGTTTTTACATATCAATTTTAGATTATTGTACTATATATGAATACGTTTAACGATACCAAACGTGTTGCATAACGTTCCAAATAATTTACATTTAACGAAAAAAATCGTTCAAAGTTTACCCAGCTGGTAGCACAGCGTACCTATTGCATTAATCGTTAAACTTTCGAATCGTACGAATGTTAGGTGTGCACTTTATCTGATATAATATTATCGCACATGTTTATTCTAACTTATTTATTTTACACCGTAGCCAGAATTACTTAGTAGTATTAGTAACTTGAAAGCGCGGACCGACCGATGGAAAATCCATTATCCAAGTACTTTAAATTACTAAACACTCGCGGGACATTGTCCAAAATTAATAATTTAATAGAATGTACCTGCGGTATACTAAACGTTGTAATAGCTGATCAAATGTTATGTTTCAACTAGAAAAATATAGCAAAGACTTAGGTATCAAGGTCCACACTATAMTTTATTACACGTATTTCCATTGGTACTATATTCACTATGCAGTATGTATATGTCACCTARCCTGCATGTCGAATGTGCATGTGTGTGTGCTTACTATACAATATATAATATATGGAATTAATTACATTCATCAAATTTATACAGGATTCCTGAAAGTATGTATACATAAATAATGCAAAGGTATCAAATGCGCAGCACAACATGTATATACTCCAGTGTATCATATTATGAAATTTAGATTTTYTGGACTGAAACAAACACACAAACAAACAATTGAAATCGATTTTTGAAAATTAAAAATGGATTATGTATGAATAGTGCTAAGCAGTAAGCTCCATAGGTAGTTATACAAAATGTGTTTTCATAAACTATGTGACTATAACAATTATTTTTATTTTTATATATATTTTAATTATTCATATTACTTTATTTTTAGTTTTAGAGGAACTCCACCACTACCGTATTTGAGTATATKAAATGACGTTGATAACATTTTTCAGCCAAGTACATAATATAATTATTACCTATGCTTAATAATATGCTTTTCTAATATGAGATAGGGTATCTATTTGTATCGATATAAATAATGTTACCTGCTAGTGAATTCTTTTCGATCGTATTGAGACTATCGATGAGTTCTTCAATAGGGTCAAGATCGGGGCCCAAACTATCAACCCAAATTCTCAACACTCTATAACCGTGTTGTTTGTAACTGGACGGACCTGTAAACAAAATTTTATCGTCTATGAAGACTATCGTTTAAACATTTAAACAAAATAATATTAYTACGTTGAAAATTGGTACTTGTTGCCTGCAGTGATCAAATGAAATAAAAATACCATATATTGTTAAATTTGCCGGATGTTCGAATGTTAACTATCCAGTAATTTGGATAAAATGACGTGAATAAGAATTCACCTACATCTAGTAAACATCCACATATAGGCAAAAGATTGAGCAGGGTTTTATCCAAAAAATAAATATACATACAATTCACGTGAAATAATCCATAATAACTCCACCGAAAATGCGATAAATGTTTAAAGAGTGATTCACCAAGTATGATCACCACTTTTTTTCTTTAATAAAGTAGTATTTTTTATTTGATTTTTGGAAATTTTAGATAAACCATATTATTTTCACAGGTTAATTAACAAAAGTTCCAATATTACGTATATTTTATATCTCCGTTAAAACATTTTTAAGTACAAACATTTTATTAACTAGGAAACTACTCATACGAGTTTTGAATTAGGTACATCAATTTTCAAAAAATTATTCTCTAAATAATTTAGAGTATAAAAATGAGATTCTCAATTRAAAAAAATGAATGTAATATCGCCACAGCACACTTCWTGAGTTGTGCACAAAAATTCAGAAAATTGAAAATTGGCTGCGAGTACATTTAAAAATTTCCAAAAATCTGAATTTGAATGAATTTAAAAAATGGGCGAGATCATACTAGATGAATGTATAATATAGTGTATAGATTTACGCCTAGCTATTACTAATCATGTATTTAATATTTTAATTTCAGGTAGGTACACGGAAAAGTCAATATAAGAGCTGCATTTCCAAGAACTGCCAGTTATGAGAGAGTAAATTTCGATYACGCATAATCTCTCGTGGGAGGAAATATTCTTTATGCTAGGTACTATATAGTATGGGAATGGCTTTGTTTCCAATATTATWTACTTTTTTAAATACTTTTCGGAGTTGGCATATTCGGAATTTACGAGTACCTACGAATTTAGTTGTCTGTTCATAAAAATACATTTTGTAGTTATACTAATAAAATATTGTAGTTATGAAAAAAATTAAAATTAAAATAATCTAAACCATGCAAATATTACCTATATACTGGTGTTCGATCGCTTTGATTTGTTCGTCCGTGAAAGCCCATAAATGAGCCAACTTTTTCCATTCACCAGGACTCAGCTGTTTGTGGGATAATTTTCGTAGTATAATTTCTAGATTTTCGTCAGTCTCTTGCAGCGCTATCGAAACGTCCAAGTCTGGATTGCACTTCCATTTCCTCCGTTCTTCAGGAGTTTTTGGTCTAGTTCGTTTCTACGCACACATATAAACACCAGTTTAACCGTTAATAATATAATATACAGTGCATCCACGACGATTAATGATTTCGCTGTGACGTGTGAATAAACTGATCGCATTTTTATATTTTTATTTATTATTAGTTCATAACATAATATTTACGTACCTTGGGTGTGTATTCTAAACGAGCGGTTTTTATAATCATGTCCACGATAGCAGTGAAACTTCCTCTAGCTGCTATGTATAACGGCGTTTTGCCTCCCTGGGTCGAAAAAAAAATTTAGAACATCAATTACAAAATACTAGCCRTGAACCGATCCATCAATAATAATTGATGTCGCTGATAGGTATGCATATTTTTAATAAACTTTTGAGCACATTTTTTAATTTAAATATAAACAAATTTAAATAATAAATAGTAAAATAATAATTATATTAATAAATAAATGAACAATTTATATATTATTATATTATGTGGCATGCTTTATGATTGTGGTATACCTACGCGCATGATATTAAAAAATAACATAACCATACTGATTTAATTATTGTACTGATACTTTTTGAAGTATGCCTATATTGTCATGTAAAATTAATATACAGACAAATTTGTATGGCCCACCCGGGTAGAAAAGTTTTATTTAAATTTGTGTAAATTGTATTTCACTGTTAATATACATTATGCTTAACATGACGTATCGGTGTTGATAAAAAAAAAAAAAAAATAATAAATTTAATAATAAAATAAACTCCTATAGTGTCTCATAATATCAACAACACGACTTTATGATTGAAACTGCACTAGTACCTAAATTATAATTTATAATCCGATATTAATATATAAGACACAGCGATGTGACGTGTTATCAATTTATCATAAGTGAGATTGACTTCATAGGCTTTTATAACTTTTATAACTTTTATAACTTCATAGGAGATTTTAATAAACCAAGATACAAATATTTACCTGTTCGCGTTGTTCGATGTTGGCTCCGGCACTTAAAAGTAGTTTACAGATTTCCGAATATCCCTGTTCGGCAGCTATGTGAATCGGCGACTGCAACCTCTGCAACGCATCAAAATAATTGTGTTCATATTKTTGCACAGTCGATACAATAATAAAATATTATAATATGTCGACGGTTATGCCAACAAGCATGTCACGTCCTTACTCATTCACTCGTTCACTCACCGTGTTCAAGGCATTGAGATCGGCACCCTTGGCGATCAGTATTTCCGCGATCACGACATTGTTGGACAGACATGCCATATGCAAAGGCGTGTTTCCATTCTGTTAACATTTTGTTTTACAGTTATTACGATGATATTATATTTCGTTTTCCCACGCAAATTTTTGTATTTACTTTGCTCTGTCTGTCGATGTCACAATCGGCTGATAATAGCATTTCCACTATCCCCCGACATCCATGACTACTGGCTATGTGCAACGCAGTCAGTCCTTTCTAAATACGTCCAAAAACGATTCAATTAATAATCTCATTGAAAATAATATATATTATATGTGCACGTAKACCATGATGGATCATGTAATTATACTCATATTATATTAGCCAGTTACAATATAATGTAATGTGGTATTGCGGTATTATGTAAATTTGATACTTGAAAAGCAATTTAGTTGCGAATATTAATTTATTTTATTTTTTAATATTTTTAAACGTATTGAAAACTGAGGTTTTACACGAACTTATAAATTAATTCAAATAATATAGATGTCAGTTTATTTGCCAAATAGGTACTTAAACAGTGAAATTTATATTAACTTAATGAGGTCGTASACTCTATAATTTTAATAATCAGCAAAACTTTTGTCAAAGATAAAATATATTTATATATATTATTATACACGTAAAAAGGGTMATTCATTTTTACAAACTGTAAAGTGGCTTCGATGAGGACATATTTTATATTTTGAAATTTTTGTTGAAATATAATCTTATTTTTCAAAACCGTGCAATGTGTTGTATAGAATTAAACTGGTGTGAAAAACTAGAAAGCATCCTGAAAATAAAAATGTAGAAAGTATAAATGTATTACAAAAGGTTCGTCAATCATTTTGGTACAGTAATAAAACTATATACACCCATATGAAATGATATATATATACAATAAAAAGGTTTGACTAAAATAATGGCAGTGTAGGATTTGAAGCCTGAGGGGCTCAATGTGACAAGGTTATCGACGTTTCCTTTTTGATTCACACGCATTTTATGGATTTTTTTGTTTTGCCTTTTACTTTTCTTTTAAGGAGCATCATATATAAATTATTGAGTGAAAAATAGTTAATATCACACATTCATACATGACACAAAACGTAGCAAATAAAATTTGAAAATGAAGTAAAATATTTATAGGTAGGCCTATAATYTATATTATTATTATTGGCTCTCTWAAATTTTAGAAAGCATCGCCATGTAATTTGTACGGCTAATGTAATTTAAGCGGTTTTCTTTATAAACATTTTTCAAATGTATTTATGGTTTATCTAAATGTACTCTAAAGATAATCATGCGCACCATTGTTTTCTTTAAATCGAGRAAATATCTTACACTATGGTTATCAAAACATAAAACTTTTTATATAGGTACCTGTGTGTAAGTCGATAATAAATTACTCAGAAGTGAAAAAAAATTATCATCTAACAAACTATAATTTCAAATTATTATTTTTCAATGTACGCATTATATTTATAATACTATAATACAGACTGATTCATCACGACATCGTGTACGTTCACTACCTTTATTTTTCTTTAAAAATACTGCAGTTATTCCAATGAGATTATTTCTATTAATTAGGGAGCTTCCCTTGAAAATACAACAAACTTCTGTTTTTAAAATAAGAACTCCCATTTTCCATTTGTAAATTATTAGGTAATAATTTTTATAAAGATTTTAATATCTAAAGATAAAAATTCAAATTATTATTTTTTGAGTTACTTAACTTTGTGTCAAATAATAATTTAAGTATAATGGGTTTGGAAGATATGGGGGTTATGTAGAATTACTATTTAAATAGTAATCATTAATTAATCATAATTTGATAATTAAAAAAAAATGTATGTTCAAGTATAATTAATTCTAGATTCAATATTATAATATTATACTTATATTTTCATACAATTATATTTTAGAACAATAATTATTATCTTTATTGATATAAAAATGTTAATAACTTAGAAACTACTTGTTTGAATTTTAAATTTGGTATTTACAGGTACATCAATAAGTTCATACAAATTATCCACTAAATAATTCACGGTAAACACGATAATTCTCATTTACAAAACAGGATATTGTATCGTCACTTTTTATTCTAAGTGGTATCATATATCTCAAGAATTTGAAAATTATATGGTCAATTAGCATATACATATATATAAAATTAGAAAATATTAAAAATGTACTTTTTAAATTTATTATTATATTAATTGTTTAAAATTATAAAAAAAAAACACTTTTTAAATATGTGCCATTGTACATATTGTACTTGCCTACTTGAAAAATGTAATTTATAATAATAATCAAAAAATATTTTAGTTTTTTGATATTCACTGAGATATAAATATATTATTTTTACAAAAACAATGTTTCAGGGTTTGCATTTTAAAAATGAAAACATTATATACCTACCTAATAATTTTTGTGATTAATTTCTTTCATTTATTACGGCGCTAGAAATCATAATTTTAAACAATCATCTGGACTTTTTTTTTCATAAAAATAATAATAATAATAACACTCGACAACTCGAAACAACACAATGGCATCAAAAATTGCAATAATTTCATATAAAGAAAAAGAACCTTAAAGTTATAGGTATATTGGATAATTTACGAGTTTTTCGTGTCCACATAACGCGATGTCTGGGAATACTACGCCACACTAGCCGTACCGTATATATGGCTGATAGTTTATTTTTGACGTTTTGCATCAAGTCGAAATATCTTATATTATATTTCAGATTGTTGATATTGACCCGTTTGGTATGAAACGAGTCGTATTCGAATTGATGACAGAATAATTTAAGGATTGTCCTCGGGGCAACACTCTACCGTTACGAAAATGATAACACCGAAAACCCACAGGACGGTGGTAACAATGCGATGTCGAGTTACGGTGGTGCTGAGAAAAATAAAATCCTATCGTCACGCGAACCTTTCCAAATACGAATACTACGGTATAAGCTATAACTATAATAATAATAATATATAATATTAAGTTAAGGAACAGTCAAAGAATCGTATGAGTTTTTAAATTTGAAGTACCTACAATAATGATACAATTTTTTTTTTCACCAATTTTAACAATAGATTACCGTGATCWTTTATTACACGCACAGTGGAAACGCTAAAATACAAAAAAAAATAATATTTTAATAATTTATTATATTATACTATACATCACATCGGTTCCATCAAAACCGAGTTTTAGGGCTTGTAACGATGTACGGACGGGTGTGCAATCCAGGAATACGATACCTGGTAATATAGTATAWATAGGTACCTATGCCAAATTTTTTAAACGTTACGTACCAAAATCTAACTGATTTTTTCGTCCGTTCCATTTAGTTATAAAAAAAATATTATATATATTATTGGTATGTATGAATATGATAAAAATTACGGTATTTTTATTTATTATTAAAACAAAATATAATTCCATAAATATTTTAAATTTTCACATGTCCACAACATTTTTTTTGCGTGCCACGGCTTTACTATCCCTGATATAACGTGTAATAACAATATGTTAACGATATATTACTCTGAACAGTCTGAAGCGTATTTTATTCTTTCGAYGGGTTTTATGGCGCCGTAAAGAATAGTAATAATAATAATAATACTAGTCATATAATAATTATTAACAATTTTTATCGGCTCGAAAATACCACATTCCTATCGCGCAGAAAATAATATAATATTACAAAAATATTAATTATTAAATGAGGCACTTCTATACGCATCTGATTAGTATGCTTTCCCTACTAATAGAGGAAAAGTAAAATATTATATAATACGTAATAATAATAAATAGGTAACACAAAACAACTATAATAATAGCGTTTTCCACCATATTACACTGTTGCACCAAGGTGGTAGGTACTAGAACTGCAGTTCACTGATAATCGTCCTAGTGCGGGCTGGTGCAAGTGTGGATGAAACATAAAATCTATACTTATCACTGATATAATATAAAGATGATAAAATATTTATGAGGACCGCTACACCCGCATGTGTTGTCTCCGTCTTACATGGCGTAACATGACAAATTTTACGCTCAACAGATAACGTTTAGCTCCGTTAGCTTAACATTTAGAGTGACCTATTATGAAAATTAAAGGTACCATTGATATCGAGGGCTTCTCATTTGCTTTTTATTATTTTTAATTTTAAAGCCTATGAGAAGCTCTCTATAATAATTTCATTTTTAATTTTTAAAAAGAAATCATTTCACTCTAAATTTTAAACTAACGKAGCTAACCGTTATCTGCTGGGCGTAAAATTTGCTATGTTATGCACTTGTAARATGGAGACAACATCTCGTGGATGTAGTGTCCTCTTAATGGTACTTATCGTGATAATGATAAGCTCTTGGAGCTCGTGCGATTATCATCGTACTGGGTGCAAACAACTGGCGCAGTATATTGAGGTGAAACATAAAAAAATCCACTCAGTGCATATTAATCTTGCCGATGGAACATAAAAATATGCACTGGTGCAGTCAGTGTAGTGTGGTGAAAAACTGTTGTAAATTATGTAAGAATTAAAATTCTATGAGAGTTAACAGCGATAGAACAACAACGTCAAACGAGGCTTATACTGCACACACCTAAACCTATGTTTGCAGGGCATCGGTTCAAGTGCTGTTTATCGTATTATTTAATAATATTCTTAGAAARCGAAACATCGAATTATTTCTTACGCTATTTTCCAAGTTCGTCGGATTCCCCGCCTCCAATAACATTTGCACAACGAGCGTTTGTTTGTTTTCGACGGCCACGTGCAGCGGACTGTTCTGTTCTTCGTCCTTCGCCAGCATGTCTGCACCGTGCCCGAGTAAAAAGTCAACCACGTCGACGTGGCCCTTTTCGCACGCGGAATGCAGTGGTGTTCGCCCTTGCTATTAAGCATTGTTGTTTGAGCGTAACATGAAATAAAACAACACAATAATATATAATAATTAGGTTCATATATTTCAATATAATATTTTTTTTTGTTTTTTTTTTTTTTTTTAACCCTCTTATAATACATAAATACTTCATACCAATTTGGTATATATATATATAAATGAGTATAGTATCAATAAATCGTGATGTTATAAAAAAATATTCCAAACCATAAAGTATTCATAAAAATGGTAAATAAAATTTACATGGATATGATTATATGATAACTCCTTGTCATTATTGCGCAGGGATGTGTAATATCCAGGAAACAAAATATGAATTGTTAACATCGGCATACAAATGCGGTGGGAAGATATAATATTTCCATTYCTCTCTTTATTCCCTTGCGTCATAATGTCATGGAACAAAACTGTTTGTTAAAATTTTATTTTGTTTAATGCACACCGTGCTCGTTAAAAATGTATTGATGTATTAAACATACGATAACAATTAAATATCATTTATTTTAGACATTTCAATCGCGGCTTATTTCTCAATTAATATTTTTATTTATTTTTCTAATCATTCACTGATGGTTAAAACACAAAAAACTATAATTTTTCTACATCCAATGATGATGTAGTGGATTACTGTGACAAAACACATAACAGTAAATTGGTTTGATTCAGTTATGTACTTTAAACAGTTCAATCGACAAAATCATATTTCCACTTGGATGAACCTATTTTATTTCAACTTTGTATTCTAAAAACGCAGTCCTTACAGCATAAAAAGAGTTTWTTTATTTATAAAACCTGTACAGAGTAGGTATATAGGCGTATGATTTGATCCCGTGATTTCATTTTATAGCATTATAGCCAGATTTTTTTTTTTTTTTAGAAATATATCATCATACATTTTTTTTGGATGTACCTAGAAGTTATTGTAATTTTGTTACACATGAGTATTTTTAATAATAATGTGCTCATTACATTTACCGATTTCAAACCACTAAAAGTCTAAAACTGTAATACAAATTCCATTATGAGGTCATGGGCCAAGTGGGTTTGGGTTATTCAGTTATTGCTCTATTATTTTGAGGAATTGACGTTTTTAGTGTCTAAGCTTTGAGTTGGAAGTGTATAAAACGGGTTTTCGTGGAATTGTAAAGTAATTATTTTGAATATGAGCGAATTCTGAAATTGTAACTGACTAGAATATTGTGTGATTTTTAAATTATTTAAATATCAAATATATTATTTTATACCAGAAACTTTTGATATATATATATATATATAGATGCCGTTACGTTATTCAACAACTGTCATCGTATTTTTCATTCAACTTGCAATTTAATTTCTGTGACTAAACGGATGAATGGGGTTTTCACTGAGCAGGTATATTACCTACTGTGAATATGTCAACTTAAAATTATATATAAGGTTCAAACCTACTTATAAAGTCTGATGTAGTTTGGTAAAATACTTATACYAATGTTGTGGATCAATTACCTACTAACTAAATATCGACATGTCGGTCACGAAAGACTGTCGACGCTCACGACAACGGCTGACAACCAACAACATACAAATATAATTATATATAAAAAGAAAAGAAATATTAATTTGAACTCAGTTGAACTCAGGCCAACCTTTATGCGCTGTTTTTATGCATTTATACTTTTTTACGATTTATTAATTATCTAAATGTTGATCAAACTAAAATTTGTTTTACAAATGTTTTATAAGGCTACRCAGACCACAATAGTGATAATATTTTATCATTAAAAATTAGATATTTAATCATCAATCAATTTTATTTCATTATAGTCAAGTTCATCGTTGTTTTATAACAAAATATTTTTCAAGTGAAATTGTATTATGACTAGACTTTAGTGAATATGGTTGGAAAAATAATAATGTTAAAATGTGCTCATATTATCTAAACAGCAATGTGGTCTGCCATAGAGGTAAACAAGTAATTTTAAAACTGATAACGTTATATTATCGTCTGTCAGTAAAAATAATTTTTTTTATCATAGTAATCTAATAATTTTTATTGTAGTCTATTTCTATTACATGTACTGACTACTCATAGTATGGGGTGATGATGATTTTTGAAGGAAGTCAATTAAATATTAAATAAAAATATTAAGTKATTAAACTAAAGTAGGTATAAGAACAATTTGAAAATGCATATTGATGAAAATAATTAAACCCCTCGAATCCGTTCTTACCTTAACTTAAAATGCATTAAAAAACTATGTATAACGTACCAATCAAAAAACCCTAGCAAAGGCTTTGCTACAAAGCCATGTCACTGGGTAAACTATATATAATACTTTTAATACTTGCATGTTTTCATATTGTTATTTGATAAATTTGAAAATTTAACCATAAATTTAAAATACGCAGTTATTACATGCCTAGACAATATTATATAATAAATTATGACATTAGTATGTCTTATGAACAAATAACGTCATGCTCG